AGAGCGAGAGCGAGAGCGAGAGCAAGGAGGGAGGAGATTCAATTCGTTTCTGCAGGCTTTGCTTCGGGCTTCAAAGGGCCTGAAAACTGCCCACAAATTCAAAACAAGTGCCCAAAGAAGCAGATACACTACCACGGCTCCTGACCCTGAAGCCTCTGACTCTCCCCATATGCGTGCTTCAGAAGCTAGAGGAAGCCACATGCCAGACCCTACAGCGTCAAATCCGTGATATACGCACCTTATTGACCCTATATAGCCCTAAACCCTACGCCCTCAACGCCCAGGTCCTCAGGAGCGTCTTTGGAACTCGAGCTCGCGGTGGCCTTGCAAGCACTTCACCGGAGACGGAGACTGGACGAAGACATCACTTCGGGCTTCGGGTTTAGGGATATTTAGGGTTAAAGAGGCCTCGCTTCATTCCTTGTGTCGGAACCTAGCGGTCTGTAGTTTGCATGGCTGAAGCGGTCATGAAGTATGAAGGAAAGATCACTCTGAAAAGCTCATCAAAGGACACGGTAGGTGCTTCATAGTCATACCCTCCTGCTACCCGCGCAATAATTTCCACAAGTCAACCTACATGATGCGACATGTCTAATGTGGCTGCAAAAGTAAACCTAACTGCACATCAAATAATGCACTGATCTGAGACATGCTTTACACAAAACGAATACAAGACACAGACCACCTGGCAGGATTCCTGCTCAAGACTACTCGCCAAGTGTAAAATCTTTGCAATACAACGGCGGGGCTATCACAAACTGAGCAGTAACCCTTGAAGAGCAGTGACGTCTTGAAGTGCAACATTCAGTTTGATGCCCCTACCCATGGTGCCACGATCTCACGTGAAAGAACTTAGCTTCAGAAATAATATGGCATGCTGCCATCATGCTTGCGACATCTGTGCTGGACATGAATGCGGGCTCGCCAGTTGAATCTTTTTCCGGCATTGCGGGCTCCAAGGATATCGTCCATGGTAAGATCCACGAACCTGGTGCTCTGTCTGGGCACAAAAGCTCGAGAGCGCGCCTCCCTCTGCTTGTCTTTGGCCTCTTTCCGTGCCTGACGTTGCTTTGCTCGCAGTTCCAATATATGCCTTCTCTTTACTTTCTCAGCCCGCTGCTGCGCTCGCTTCTGCTCCTGCCGGATCTGGCTGCGCCATGTCCGCAGCAAGGCGCGTAAACGACACAGCATCACCTCGGAATGCGTTCGCCTCGGTCGTCTGGCCTTTGCACGAAACCGGAGATTGTACAAGCGCCGCACATGCTCTGACATGTGGCATGTCTTGTCATGCATGGCCATGTGGTGAGACTCCCAACGTCGCAACAGTCGTTCCCGGCTTCCCGCACTGTGTGCATAGCAGGATCTCATGCGCTTCAAGGCCTTGTCACTCGACAGCCCTTGGCTTTCCCACGTCCACGCGACTACTCGCTGAAGTTGCTGCCACTGTTGCTCCAAGTCCACAAAGCTGTGCAGACGAAGGTTGCGAGGTCCTCTGCGCTTGGTGCCTTGCTCACCCGCCCAGTGCAGAGGGCGCAAGCGCCTCAAGGCAGAAATCAAACCGAAGGTGTATCAAATCTACCCTGACTGATCTGCGGTGCTGCACCATGGGTTATGTTGATTATTGTTATTATTATTGTTACTACTATTGTTACTATTATTATTCGTATTGGTATTAAGATTATCAATACCATTATTATTGTTATTATGATTATTGTTATTACAATTAGCATCCTCATTATCCTTATATCTACTGCAGCCAGAAAAACCTCACGGGCCGAAAGGAGAGACCTAGGCGGCCTCTCCTTTCCATTTGCCAAACTCCTGAATCCATTAGGGTTTAGGGGTTTAGGGTTTAGGGGTTAGGAGTTTAAGGGTTTAGGGGTTAGGGGTTGTTAGGGGTTAAGGGTTTGGGTTTAGGGGTTTACGGTTTAGGGTTTAAAGGTTTAGGGTTTAAGGTTTATGAGCTAGGACCACTTCCACTGCTAGGGAAGGCACTCGCGCTGTTCTGCCACGTGGGCAGCACATCGTAACAAGGGGCAAGGCACCTTGGTCCCGTAAAAAAAGAGAAATCTTTCGAATTTCGAGAACACAAACCTGCTATAGAGAATAACACCACGCTTCTGCAGCAACCTGAGACGCTTTGCCATGTTTACCCAGAAAAAAGCCGTGATTCTGGACAAGTTGAAAACGTAGCCCCATCTCATCGACACTTAGACCGTGCTCTGCAGCAGCAGAATCAGAGGCTTGCTGGAGGCGGGATGCGAAATTGCCTTCGGTTGCAACCTGGCTCATTCTTTGCTTCACAGCTGTCAGAATGACCAGATGCTCCAGCGCAGCTGGCAAGTCGGTATATTTCGTTCTTACCCGCACAGAATCAAATACAACATTTGCATAGTAAGCAATCGTTGCTCCGCGGCGGGTGCCAGAGACGCCCCGGGTCGCCGTTTGCCGTCGCCGGGAGGACGCCTCGTGCGGCAGGGGGGGTCCTCGCCCTGTCGAGTCCTGAATGGCCAGCTGCACCCGCTTGGCATGAGCCTGGTTCAAAACAGCCGGCTCTGAGGAAGGTGTTGTCACGGTTCCAAGCATGTTCTGCGATGGCTGATCGACCATCCACTTCTCCAGCTGCACTCTTTGCTGCTGGGTGAACTCATCGCGGATCACAGGCAGACGAAGTTCTGGTGTCAAACGCTTCAGAAGCACACAGACCTTTGGCAGAAGGCCTGCAAGCCTTGACAAGGTATGTGCCTGCCTCCTCGGGGTGCAAAAGGACTCATTTCTTTCACTTCGTGGCTGACGTGTTGGCTGGCTTGGCTCCTGCCTCTTGCGCTTGCCAGGGCTTCTAGCTGTGCTAGACCGTTTGCCAGACACCTCTGCGGACAGCTTGCACATTGGGTCATTGGCTTGCTTCATATCATACTCTGCACGAGCTGCAGGGTCTGCCAAGATCTCGAAAGCGTGGTATGCCAGCTGGAAGCTCTCCTGGAAGAGAGGGTATTTGAGGGCTGCATAGGTGGGCTTTGTGGACACTAGCAGGATGTGTCTCCAGAGTAAGAGCAAGAACGATTTGCACATGTATGAAAAATAAACATACATACATACATACAT